TTTGACTCTTGGGTCTTGAGCCCACTGTGACCTTGGGCAGGACATCACTCCTCTGTGCCTCAGTTTGTTCATCTCTAAATAGGTGGAGTCCAGAGCACCCTCTGGACTTGCAAGATTTGTGCTGGCTGTGAGCTTGGTTTATTTTCCCTTAAGATTAAGACTTCCTCTTCTTTTAGGTGACATAGGTCTGAGCAAGGTTTGTGAGAAAGAAAAGAAAGGAAGTTGGATCAAGCGGAAAGCTGGGTAATAAAGAAACAAGGGAATGATGTGATAACAGCAGGAAATAGGATTCAGAAGATGAGAAAGAGTGCAGGAGGGAAGGTTATCAGAAGATCACTCTTCATGGGACTTAGAAACAAGGGCCTTTGCTGGTGCTGCTTAACACCCTTCAAGGGGAAAGAAGGAATGTAAAGTTTCTCCTGATCCTTGGCAACTCCTATGAGGGTCGGTCACAAAAAGGATAGCTAGTCAATACTGCTTAAATTGGGTAACTTCTGCGCTCATTGTGGTCACTATGGCCTATGAAAGGAGCTCTGTCTGGTAACCTCAAGGTCAGCAGTTGGAAACTATCAGCTGTTCCATGGGAGAAAGATGACGCTTTCTGCTCCTGTAAAGATTTACAGCCTTAGAAACCTTGTGCAGGGTCGCTATGAATTGGAACCGATTCCACAGCACATAACCACCACCATGGCCAACGAACATGGTTGAGCCAGAAGCAAGAAAGGCCTGGTTTAAGGGTAAAATCTGAGCCCTGGTGTGGTACTATGAGTTAATGTGCTGGACTATTAAATCAGTTTGAACCACAAAGTCAGTGGTTCAAGCTCACCAGTCACTCCTCAGAAACCCTATACAGGGTCACTATGGGTCTGAACCAACTCGATGGCACTTAACAACAAGAAGGGTGAAGTCATGCCCCAATGCCCCTGTTTGTGGCAAAGCATGGTGGGCTCAGGGAGTACAGAGCACTCTGGCTCCAGCAGCCTTGTGCCTACATGAAACCCAGAGTAGTTTGCCATGTGTCTGACATTGCTTCTAGCCCCAGCAGTCTGCACACATTTCTAGCTCGTCATGCATCACTTACCAGTAGATTCTAGAGCTATTGATGCATACCACAGTGGAAAAAGTTGTGCTGCGCCATGATGCTTATTAAATTCCTAAATCCTGTTAGAAATGAGGGCAACTTGCTCCTAATAGAATTTTCTGTTTCTCCTGATCCTTGGCAACTCCTATGAGGTTCTTTAGTCTCCTGGGTAGTGCTAGCTAGGGTGGATTCTCCCAGCCAGTTCTCTCCTTTTCACAAGCAGAACCCTTGAAAACAACTCTGTCCCCTGAGAGGGAATTTTGCTCTCAGTATAAACAGAGTTTTTCTAATGTGTTTAAAATCTACTCTTACACTGACTGTGGGGTGTTTATTTTGGGGAAGAGTGTGTGTGTAGAGAGGGTGTTCTTGCTCCAAAACCATCATAGTTGAGGGGGTGGGAATACACTTTATTTATGTTATGCCCTCCCACACCTCCTTGGCCCTCAATACACACAAGAAATACCACAAGTGAACATGGGATGTTTGTGCTAGGAAGGGGTAACAAATGTCTCCTCCCGCGGCTCCTGCTGCCACCCCTGCAACAATCCCTCTTGTTGCCGGAAATCAGTCCATTTTTCATGCTGTCAAAGCTGCTTTGTTGGAGTGTTGGACATGGAGGATGACTTAGGCTGGGAAAGAATGTGGAAAGTGTCTCTGCATTTAAAGCACCATCAGGTTATGTCAGGGGAAAACAGGATCCTTGCCTTGTGATAAGGGAATACTAAATTTGCTGAGTAAACCAGACTTCAGGTGCTTGCTAGAATGGGTATCTCATCTAACTACTTGCTTTTTTCATTTCACTCTTTTCCCTGAGTGTCAGAAGCAAATGGGTTTTGTGTTTGCATACTTTTTTTTTTTTTTTTTCATTCAAAGCATCTCTCCTTTCTCTAGTGATATCATCCCTGGAAGACTGAGATGTAAGAAGAGGTGAATCACGTATCACCTTCGCATATCTTCTAGAATTACATCAGCCTGAGCCTGGGGTGTAGTGGGGATAAAAGCCAAAAAATGGAGGAGGGAGAGGGAAGAGCAGCAGGAGGGAGGGTGGAAGGGAGGAAGGGAGCTGGTTCTTTGCAGTGGGCTTGCATGCTTCTTCTGCTTCCTCACCATTTAAGTTCCCTCTCCTCCCCTATTTCTAAATCAGTTAACAGGAAAAAGCATACTTTAAAGAAACACTCACCTTCAATCTACTGATGGCGCTGATTTAAATGTCATTTGTCTGATCTTTTTGACCAACCACCATACTCTATCAGTCACAGATGAAAGGCAACCTTGACATTCTCCCGGACACATGAAGTATCAGACTATTATTTTCACCCTTTTATGTTCCCATCCGTTTTAAACTGCACAGGCACTTGGCAACGTGTGGGAATCATTTGAACTGTGAAATCTAGTCATGCAGGATAGTGACAGCTCACACAACTTCCAGCAGGACAGGTGAGACTGTGTGCAAGAGGCATGCCACCAAGGTGGACCTACAGGTAGGGCGGGATTTGACTTTCCTGACCTCTCTCTACCTGTGGGTTTTCAAATGTCATTCAATAAAGTGTGTCTGAAGTATCGGGTGTAGAAAGACAAGGACTCTCAACTGAACTAAAATCAAATGAAATCAAAAGCCCTGGACCTTGTCCTCATGTCCTTAAGGGACTCTGCATATGTTTTAATTAACATTTCCCACCCACTCCTCTTTGTTTTTCTTTTAAAGATAGTCTTAAACCTGAACCACTCCCGATAATTAGGAAGAAAATCTTTCACCCTCCCTTTCTCTACCGTTGTCATGATGTGCCGTGGAGTAGGTTCCGACTCATAGTGACCCTGTACAGGGTTTCTAAGGCTGTAAATCTTTACAGGAGCAGAAAGTCTCATCTTTCTCCCTCAGAACAGCTGGTAGTTTCAAACTTCTGACCTTGAGGTTAGCAGCCTGATTCGTAACCACTACGCTACCAGAGCTCCTTCCCTTTCTCTATGGATCAAGTGAATTCCAAATGCCTTAGGACTTCTGGAGCTGGCTACTCTGAACATATTTACGATGAAAACAAAGGAGAGAGCCCTTCTCCTGCCTCTTCAGGACACCAAGGAAGGCCAGGAGTGGAATTCATTTCTACAACACAGGAAAGGGGGCCTAAAAATGTAAAGGAAAAAAATAATTTGCAGAAGGCACAGTTTAGGCAGCATCTTATTACAACTTCCAGCTAATCCGATTTAGCCAAACTAGAGACATCTGTTTGAAGTTTACAACAGAAACAAACACATGAAAATCCTAAAACACACACAGAGACCAAGCTTTAACCACTCTCTGTCTTACCCTCCCTGCCACTGCCCCACTGGACCGGCCCTAGGTTGTAAAAAGGAAGAAAATAACCTCTGTGGCCGGCCTGCCTACCCACTCCACCTGCACCATAACTCATTCCTGCTATGATTGGAACTTAGCAACGTCTCTTGTCTTGGTTCTCTTCCCAGGGAAACACAGAGCCAGTCTCATGGTACAGAGACTTTCTTCAGGTCTTTAGCTCATCTCTTAAGCTCTTGGAGTTGTTTGTAAAGGAAAAGATTATAGCATGCCCTTATACCTGATCATTACAAGACCCAGAGAAGGGGGTGGCAAAAACCACCCCTGACCTTGAAAGTCACTCCTCCACAAATAACCTCCCAGGTCTGAGAATGGAGAACGGAATTCATCCTAGCATCTCCAAGTATTGACTTAAAAAGCCCAGACTCAACTTAATGATATGCAGGATAGACTTCAACAGAAGGCCGCAGCACCCAGAGCCAAAGAAGTCCAGGAAGACCCCAGGACTGGGCATAGAGTGGAACCCCCCTTCCTTAATCATCTAATCAACCCAAAGCAAGGGCCAAAGGCTGTTTTATCACACCATGCTGGGAATGGCACACCCTCTCCCACCCCACCCCACCCCCAGGGCCAAGCACTTTCAGCAGCAGTTCCAGACGCTTACCTGTTCTAGTCAGTGTTCCTCTTTATTCTCTCCCCACGCGTGCAAACAGAACCAGAACAGCGCTACTCTTAAAAAATAACAAAATGTTTTATACACATTTCTGTATATACAACTGAACAACATTTTACATGTTTCTTTTGCACAGCAAAAGATATAAACATTTAACTCTGAGACCACAGATATGTACAAAAAAAAAGATGTCAAAAATACTTCACAACAGTGCAAAAATATTTTACACAGTATCATGGAGTGAGCTCTTTTGAGCAGGAGAAAGGTGTGTGTTTCTAAAGGAAAATTCCTTTTTTTTTTAAGATGTTCAATGTCTTTAACTGTAAACAAAATGCAACTTTTATCCCTCACCCCCCATCCCCCACCCCCCCAAAAAAACAGTTATTTGAGGAATTTGGCAGAATTTCAAGGGTTTGAGTCTGAGGTAAACAACCCAAGTTCTCGCACCAAAAGACTGGGGGAAGGGGTTGGCATTGAAGCCCCAAATATTGTGAGAGCAAATTCTTTTTTTTTTTTTAATGACAAGTCAATGACAGTGCCAGGCCGCTCCCAGTAGAGGGTGGGGGGAGGAAGTTAACCTCTCCTCCTCAGGCCCCAGCTGTCCCACAAACAGGAAACTGGTCAACAGGCACCTCAAGCCTGCGACTTCACTAACTTCAGCCGGCCCTGTCCCTCACCCCCACCCAGCTGCCTCTCCCTCTCTGTCGGGGTTGGGGGGCGGTTCCCTCTGACCCACATCTCCCCACCTCTCCATTAGCGGCCAAAGCCTCGCATTAAACAGCTAACCTGGGGGGAGAGGGAACAGAAGGAACTGAGGATCTCAGTCCCAAGCGGAGGTTTGGGTCCCAAGTGCCCCATTTCCCCTTTCTTGGGGCCTGTCTGAAGGGTGTAGCCAGACGGCGGGTGGGGAAGTCACAGTGGGGAGCCGGGGACGCGGGCAGGAGGCTGCTGGGAGCTTAGCCCGAATGGGGCTCGTCCAGACTGGCGCCATCGGCAGGCCCCGACGGGTCCCCAGGGGTGGCGGAGGTGGCGTCCGGGCCCCCGCCCTCGATGGAGCTCTCGCTGCCGGTGCTCTCGCCCGACAGCAGGCGCGTCACGCGCAAGTCTGTCTGCAGGCTGCGCACGTCGTTGCCAAAGCTGAGCTCTCCCAGGTCGCTAATGAGCTGCGACAGCTCGGCCTTCATGTCGGTAGTGCTGCCCAGCAGCAGAGGCGACGGTCCAGCCTCCGGGGCCAGCGAGACCCCGTCGCCCCGCAGCGCCTCCTCGCGGCCGGTCTCCAGCGTGTCCAGCAAGTCCCCGCATTCGAAATGCATGGCCACAACCAGTGCCCGCTGCGTCTCAGCCTCCTCCTCCGCGCGGCCCCCGTCCACTACACGATCCTCCTCCTCCGGGAAGCCCTCGGGTTGCTCCTCTTCCTCTTCCTCCTGCAGCTCCTGCTCTTGCTGCTCGCCGAGCAGGTCCTCGGTGATGGAACCGAGCTTGGGCGCGCTGCGACTGCGCTCCACCGGTGGCTTGTAGCAGCAAGGTCCGTGCAGAAGCAATTTGCGCAACGGCACTAGAGGGATGGTGTGTGCGCCCACCAGCTCCTGCTGCTGGTGACGCGCGTCGTCCCGCCGCTTGAGGCGTTTAAATTCCGCCAGTGCATTGGCCGACGTCTGGTAGAGCAGTAGGGCCATGGCCTGCGCCTTCTCGGGTTTGGACACTAGCACGGCGTGGCAGCGCAGCATCACCGCCTTGTGTTTCAGCTCGTGCCGGTAAACCCAGGCGAAGACCTTGGGCAGTCGCGAGTCAGCCACGCAGTAGGTAACACGGTGCAGCAGGTAAAGGTGGCCAGGGCGGCGCAACGATCTCTCCTCGGCGTGCACCATGCGGATACCCTGCGCACTCACTGTCAGCTTCATCTTGGTGCCCTGTCGGCCTGCCTCGCTCTTGCTCCAGATTTTGCCCACGGCTAAATCGGTGCAGCCGTCGCCGCGCGCCTGGATAGTGGTGGCATTACCCAGGTAGAGCACAGTATAGGTAGGGTCCTCGCTGGTGATGTGCAGTTTCTTGCGTTTAGAGCGGAACATGCTGCCCACCCGGCTAAGGGCGCCTTCGGGGCAAGCCCGTGCCAGCGAGCTCAGCGCCGAGTAGTGCAAGCTCACCGCGTAGCCCTTGGGCTTGGACGCCTGCCGCGGTGGCGCCTCGGCCAGCAGCTCGAACTTGTGCTTCTTCCACGGCAGCATCTCCGAAGGGCGCCCCGGCGCAGCTGGGCGGCGGCGGCGAAGCGCCGGCTGCGAGCCCAGCTGAGCCACCCGCCCCGGCCGGGCCCGGCCCGGACAAGACCAAAAAAACTCTGTTGTGAGCTGCCAGGTGGCGGCGAGACAATGGGGGCAGGGTGAGGGATAGTGCTCTGGAACCCCGCAGTGTGTGGGGATAGAATTTTTAAATGACAGTATTCAGTGGCAAGTGTGCAAAAAATAAAATGAAAGCACCCGCGCTCACACAGAATGACTCTAGCCCGGGCAAGGGCAAAGGCAGAGCCTAAGGAAAGCAAAATGAGAGAAAGAACGAACGAGACTGGAGCGGGAAATGTCTAAGGAAAAAGCTCTGTGCGTGCGTGCAAATAGAAGGGACCTCAGCAAAAACACCTGGGATGGTGCGAGAACAGGCAGAAAACTCCTCCAGAAACGTGTAAAGGGATCCACACTCATACACACCCCGGGGTTCAGGCAAGAAACCGCAGAAACTCAACAGCGAGTTGCCAAGGGAGGGGGCAATGTTTCCCACCCCCAAGGGGTGCTGAAGACTGGGAGCCCCTCCGTTGGACTGGTCCCAGAATGGCACTGCTTGCCCAAAGTGCAGTCAGGTGGTGGGTCCGGCTGGCCGCGGCGGGCCCCGCGCAGCAGTCCTGCGGTGGCTCACTGCATCTTCGCTCCCACCGGACGCCGGGAACTCGGGCTCGGCCAGCTCACTGTCCCGGTTGGCTCCGCCAGAGCAGCACCGGGCTCCGAGCTGGGGGCGCGCTCATGATCGGCTCCAGGGACTGTCGCTACCTCATTTCTTCCCTCCCCGGGTCGTTCAGCTTAGTTCTCAGGCTCTCTCTGTCCGCTGCCTGGCTTCGCAGCGCGCCCTTTCGGTGCTGCGCGGTGGCCGGCTCGGCCGCCTCACATCCTTACTGGCCAGGAGGAAGATCTCGGGTAAATATAGGCCGGCGCGAACCATTCGCAGCGCGGGGACAGGGGAGGAGCACAAGAGAGGATCCGTTTCGGGCTCCGACGCCCGGTGGGTTCCTGGTCTCTTAAAGGGACCAGGTTGCACCCAATGATCGAGGGAGGGGAGCGGAGGCTCCAATTCGGTGTTTACATCCTAAATTTACCAACTCTTTTCTTTACAGAAATCTCCAAGACCTGGGCTTGCCCCATAGCTAAAGGAACTTGAACTCAGACAATCCACCCCCAGGCTGAATTGCGACTCGCTGAATAAATGTACTCCTATGTCTAGATCGAAACTTCTGGGGGAGGTAGTGGAAGGTGGGACTGTAATTTACTGTGCAAAAAGGTTGGGAAGAAAGTGGTTCCTTCCTGTGTGACATCTAAGAACCACTGGCTGCTTTGTAGTATTATCCGTTTCAGAATGTGACTCTGGTTTTTAAAAGGCAAAGAGGGCCAAGGGAAACACCAAGACTTATCCTCACCAGCTTGGAATCCTTACTTCACAGGTAAACATCAGCGTGAAAAGTGAAGTGATAATATAAGATCCACGAAGTGGACAATATAGAACAGAGTCGGTAAACACACGGTGCTTCCTACTCTAACGCCCCCAGCATGACGCCCTTAGAACAGAACAATTTTCTGAGATGTATATATGAGGGGGGCGGAGTTCAAAAAGTTCATGGAAAATTTTTGTTATCTTTTATTTCCACTTCCACTTTCCAAGCACTTTTGAAGTCCCCCACCCCCACCCCTTACAATTTCTCTGTGGGTTTACAACTCAGTTTACTTTGACAAGCCAACTATTCCGTTTTTATTACATCTTTGACACATTTTGGATGAGAATTTATAGGAAAAATCCAAATGACATTTTTGAAAGTTTTAATTGTGATTTGAGTGGAGGTTTACAGAGCAAATCATACACATCATGACAATGATTGCAATCCCTCTGTATACTATCAGTTAACAGTTGTTGTTATGTGCCGTGGAGTTGGTTCTAACTCATAGCAACCCTGTACAGGGTTTCCGGGGCTGTAAATCTTTACCGGAGCAGAACGCCTCATCTTTCTCCAGCGGAACAGCTGGTAGCTTCAAACTGCTGACCCTGAGGTTTGCAGCCCGATTCATAACTACTACCCAGTATTCATCTCTATTCCCCTTAACTCTTTCACTCTTCCCTGTGTCTTCCATTACCTTCATCTTTCCACTGTCAACGTTCCTCTTTTTAAAAATTAAAAAAAAAAAAAAAAGCTTTTTTATTGTGAACTGAATGAAGGTTTACAAAACAGATCATCAGTCCCACATTCAACAGTCCTACACGTCTGTCATTACTATTGCTGTCACCCCTTCCGTGTACCATCAGTTAACAATATCAAATGACATTTTTTTTTATTTGGTTGTCAAGTAATGAATCCACACTGCATTGGGAGTGACCACTGCATTAATCATGTCTTTCTCTCTGCCACCCGGACCATGTAGATTTTTAATCCTCTGAACAGTTTGACCCCTGGCTAGTAACTCCTTTCTAGACCCTAGAAACAACCTGCTTGGCTTTGTGGTATGCTCAGTCAAAGTAAAAATAACTAATTAGAATGTGTGATAAGTGTCCAAATGATCCTACAGAGCTGTATTTAATTCCTAGGCTTGTTGTTAAGTGCCATTGAGTCAGCTTTGACTCACAGTGACCCTGTATAGGAGCAACTGGTAAGTTTGACCCACCAACCTTGCAGTTATCAGTCTCTCCCACACACACAGATCCAGGCCCCTGAAGAGCTTGAATGTCCATGCCAGATCCTGGCTTCAGAGCCACTATAGCCCGAAAGAGTCTTGGTGTAATGCTAAGGGTTAATGTGCTGGACTGCAAAGTTGGTTTAAACCATAAGGTCAGTGGTTCAAGCTTACCAGCCACTCCTTGGAAACTCTATACAGTGTTGCTATGAGTCGGAACCGACTCAATGACAACAACAACAGCAATAGCCCCAAAGCAGTTAGTAGTCCAGTGCTTATTCTACAGTGCCACACCAAGACTCAGAAGGGACTATGCTATTGTTAAGTGCTGTCAAGCTGATTCCAACTCATAGCAATCCTGTATAGGGATTCCAAGGAGCAGCTGGTGAGTTTGAACTACTGACCTTGTGGTATACAGTCCAGTGCTGATCCTGCAGTGCTACACCAGGAGTCCAGAAGGGGCTATGTTGTTGTTTTTAAGTGCCATAGAGTTCATTCTGACCCATGGCGATCCTGTATAGGATTTCCAAGGAGCAGCTGGTGAACTTGAACCATCAACCTTGTGGTTCAAACTAACTTTGCAGTCTAGCGCATTAGCCCATAGCACCAGACCAGGACTCTAGAAAGAGCTACAGTGATTCTGAAATCAGAACGTGGCATGACATCTAAGGACTCCAGAAGGCTGGATCTGGGGTAGGGATGGGAGTTGGGGAAGGAGACTGATATCCTCAGGTTGGCAGTTCAACCTCACCAGCCACTCCTTGGAAACCCTATATAAGGTCACTATGAGTCAAAACTGACTGTATGATGCTTAACAACAAGAGCAATAGACCCTTCTAAGGAGCACTGGTAGAGCCATGAGTTAAGCATTATGCTGCTAACAGAAAAGTCAGAAGTTCAAACCCACCAGCCGCTCTGAGGGAGAGAAATGAGGTTATCTGCTTCTATAAAGAGTTACGACCTCAAAACCTCTAAGGAAGAGTTCTACTGTGTCCTATAGGGTTGCTACATGCCAAAATTGACTCTGTGGTGTGGGAGTGGGCAGTTTCATCTGGAAATTTCCTGGCCTTATTCTACCTTTAAGGAGCTCTGGTAGCATAGTGGTTATAAATCGGGCCGCGAACCTTAAGGCCAGCAGTTTGAAACTACCAGCTGCTCCGCTGGAGAAAGATGAGGCGTTCTGCTTCCATAAAGATTTACAGCCTCGGAAACCCTGTACAGGGTTGCTATGGGTCGGAACCGACTCAACGGCACTTAACAACAATTCTACCTTTGCTAATGTTTACCCCTTTTTTTTTTTAACTCGAACCCAATTCTGAGTACCTATTGGTGCCAGGTCCTGAGCTGCCAAGCGACAAAGATGACAGAGATTCAATTCCTAATCAGGAGCTCTTAGTGCTGAAAAGTCAAAGTAAATGCCACTTAATTCTGGGCTTCTACTAAAATGAATGAAAATACCTTGTTTCCTCAATGCTTCCAACAAACAGACACTTAATACATGTTTTAATGAGTGAGACGCACATGTGAACCAAAAGGCAGAGTGGGTTCAAGGACATGAGAAGGAACCAGAGTACTGTGAGAGGTTGGAAAAAGAAAAGGTTCATCATGACTAGGAAAATCCAGGAAGCATTCATGGAGATGATGATGTTTGAAGGACGAGCAGGCTTTCTCCAGGCAGAAAAGGGTCAAAGGACCTTCAGGATATACTGAACAGCAAATTTACAGAAATATGAAAATGTATGTGCATGTGCAAATTAAGATGAAGTTTTAAAATTGTAACAATGAAAGAGTAGTTTCCTGTTTGTACTTTTGGTGGCTTTCTTAGTCTCTGAGGGATGGAATGGCCTTTTCACAGCTAACAGGTCCCAGGATGTCATTTGGCCCTAGCCCTAATTCCTTCTTCTGATATCTGTTGTTGTGTTCCATCAAGTCAATTCTGACTCACAACAACCCTATAGCACAGAACAGAACTTCCCCATAGGGTTTCCAAAGCTGTGATCCTTACTGAAGTAGACCAGCACATCTTTCTCCTGCAGAGCAAATGGTGGATTGGAATAAGCAAACTTTGGCTAGCTAACAAGCACTTAACCACTGCATCAATGAACTCTTTTCCTGAGATGTACTGATGGGTCAAAGGAGCAATACTAAGCATTGTGTTAGCGAGAGCTAGTTAGTACTATAAGGAAGTATTTAAACACAGATTGAATCCTCTTTTGCTCAATTTTTTAAACATCTTACAGTGGCAATGGAGTAGATGGTACGTGTTCCAAAAAACTATAATATTCTGGTAAAAATACACCAAGTTA